ATACGGCTTCAGAATAAGGGTATCAAAACATGTGCCACTCGAAAGTTCAGTATAAATTCCTCATCTGAATTGTGGAATGAGAATGATAACAGAATTTACTTTCTGTCTTTTATGTCACCAGCCATGCCATCCTCTTTCTCACAGAAGGGACACAGATACTGGCATGAAGGTTGAAGACATAGCCACTCTGTTAGAACAGTGAACATGCCTTTTGCATGAACTGATTCCAAATGAGGATAAAAATTTCCTGACCATCCTCCCCATCTTCAAAGCATGGATTTTAAACAATACCAAAAGAATTTAAGTTCCACTGTGTCTAGGGTCTTTGTCTAGTCTGCATATTGATATACGCAGAGCACCCAACACAATGTACATTTTAGGCACTTCACAAATATCTGTAGAATGGCAAAGAAGACATTGGTTTAATACATCAAATCTTGGAGGCAGTGTTCTGGAGGTATAGCTCAAAGACACACTCCAATAATGCAAAAAAAGAATCCATATTAATAAAAAGTCTGACTCCATTTTGATGTTTGACTGCTGGCAGCTTTTAAGGTCCACCACTATGCCTTTCTTCCTGCCCCACATCTGATAAGGACAAGCTGATAAGAAACCTGGTGTTCCCTCCATTGGCAGCAACAGGAACTTATGACCCCACAAGCCTCATCCCATTCAAATGGGGACTCTCACCTCAGTCCTACCCTCTGATCACCACAGAACCCCAAACTAGTAGCTCCTGTCTGCTCTCAAGATATGTTTGGACCTGCTTGAGACCCTACCCTGTCCCCATGTGAGAAATCTCATTACGAGAATAATGAGCTCTTCCTACCCTCTTAGTGTATGTGTGCCATCATTAGTCTTGATATCTGAACCAAATTTTGGATGGCAGGGGTAAGGGGTCCATCTCATCTCAGTGGGCTACAACATCTTTGAAGATTCATTTTTTAATCTTAAAAAAAGTGTTAACTTTTACATTCTATCCCAGAATATATGCATGTTTAAAATCAGTGCTGCAAATTAATTCTGAATGCTTAAATAAATGCTTCAAAAAATTCCCCCCCTCAAAAAGAGTACTTTGAGTGGAACTGACACCTCAAGAAGATGAATAACATTTATCTCATGGCTTCACCTACTCCCTGCA